TTATATCAGCAAGGGGCACTGCTTTTCCCACCACACAACACATATCACACACACACACACACACACACACACACACACACACACACACACACACACACACCATGTCCACAGATGGCTGGCATGACTGTGCGCTGCTCTAGTATCATGCTGTTAAATTTGAATCCACGGGACTGGGCAGTGCTACAGACCACCAGACTATCTGGAGTCAGGGGGAATATTTCAGAGGCACTTTATTTATATCAGCAAGGGGCACTGCTTTTCCCACCACTAAAATTAGCTTGGGTAAATACTTAAGACGATTACTCATAGCACTAACAGAATATTAAAAAACTATTCTAAAGTTGAGCACACGTCCACGCACCAAAAGATAAACAGCAAATGAATGGTCTTTTTTTTCCCTTCTCTTTTACACTTTTCTCGGAAACTAATATGCTAATGGGTTTACCATAATGTAACCGAATACCTCTGAATGTTTGTCCACATTGGGCTTGTTAATTGCATGATTTAGCTGGAGCCATCTTCTCAGTTACTGAGTGTCGCTCTAGCTTGTGGCGAGCCTAATGGCTGACCCTGAGTAAACAGAGTTTTTCCGGATTTGAATGGAGATAGCAGTGAAGGAAAGAAGTACATTGCAGCATATCACCACTATGAAAAATGCGTGTATTATAATGGTGACAGAAAAAGAATCTCTCCACGCTAATCTTTTACAACAATAAACTGATAATAAACAAAGAAGATGTCAAATGTAGCAATGAGCCTACATTAATGGATTTGCTGTATTCATGACAGTCAAGTGGTGTCACCTGAGGAGTTAAACCAAAGCAGTATGGAATCTACTTGAACCAGTTTATCAACATTATACAGAACTCTATTGTAGTCCTCCATAGGGCCTTACGTGTCAGGCGTTTTCAACCTTTACAAGTTGTTTGCCCCTAAAGTCATTAAGAAGTAATTCTATTTTCTGATGGTCAGAGAGCATTCATCAATTCCTGTATAGAAACTTTACACTCACCTTGGTGTTTTGACCTGGGCTCTTTGGCGAATTATTCACTTTAAGGCTTGTGTTTACATCAGTAGCAGCGTTTGGTAACTTAGCAGGACAACAAGGAGTCAAATGAATGTGCACATGTGGAGAGCAGGGACTACTGAGTTTTGGATTCGAAACATGGCAGGAAATTCCAGTATTAGCATAGGGCACCTCCAGGGAAAAGCTCCTTTGTATGGCACGATGACATTGGTTATCCTCAGCCTTTTCCTGGCTTTTTCCATACGAACAGACCTTCTGGTTTTTCCCTGATGATTTAGTTGAGGAGAACAAACAAGCAGAGGTACTACGATACAGTTTTTTGTGAGGTTGATGTTCGCCCTTAGGGTGTGCGGCTGGATTAAGTGCCTCCGGATATTCCACATTCACTGTAGCTGTGGTTGTAGCTCCTTTCCCGGATATCATTGGTCTCTGGTGGGCAAAGTGTAGTAGCACGCTGCTAGAGTGACGATTCGATCTGTCTAGGGTAGATGACAGTTCCATTACTTTACTCCTGTCCTCCATTTTGCATTTTGGTTCATCCTGTAAAGGAATATTAAATTGCACCATGTGTTTTGTGTCCCTGAAGTCGCCTGAAAAGCTTCCTTTTGGGAGACGATGGCCAATTACTGCCATGGTGGTGGACCCTTTGCAACTCAAATCCTCATCATCTTGTGAGAAATCACCGGCAGATGTCTGATGAGATGACTGGTAAGAA